TCAGGGACTTTTCAGGGGTGTTTAAGGGGTGTTTATGACTATAGTGCATGAATCTGAATGAACCACTGAAGCTGAACTTTTTGATGTGGCTGTTTTGAATGAACCTGGGTGAAAATAAGATATGATTTCTTTTACAAAGATTACTTGGTAATTTTTTAAAAGGTGAATATTTAATAGTTCATTTTTCCGGCTGCTTCAAAATATTTTCATGACAAAAGTTCCCGCTCACTGGCTGAGCGAGGCGTGGGAGCAACACCGAGGGTTGCGATCCCGTTGCCGGTCCCGGTCTGGTGCGGGCGCGACACTGAGGGTTGCGATCCGTTGCCGGACACGAAAAAAGACAAAAAAAAGGAAAAAAAAAAAAAAATGTCAGCTCTCATTTCCATGAGGATGCCACTCTCTAATCCTTCTTCCCTGTTGTCCTAAATTTGCAACTTCTTACCTACAAAGGGTTGAGAAAACAGACAGCTGCACTTGTTACAATTGTGTATAAAGTAAGAGTGTATATGGTCTGAGTAAGGGTCTGATGGTTGTGTTAGGAATAAGAACTGGGGAGATTTCATGGCTGAATCTCATGATACTACTTTGTCTGGGAGGATTAGCGCTTGAAACCCTCCCCACCACTGACACATAGCTTTGACTTAGTTCTTCAGGCAGCCATTTTTTCTTATTAAAGTTAAGGTGATGTGTGAAGGGGCAGCCAGGGCATCATCTGGGAGAATAGGGCCCGGTCACAGGGGCAGGGTAGAGGTGCTGGGCATCTTGTTGGAGGGAAGTAGGAACACAGGCAGAAGCAAGGGAGGGTGCTGGGTGTTGCTGAACATGAGCTGCTGCTTGACAGTTTTGCTGGCCCTGGCTGTGCAAGTTCTCCTCAGGTGAGTTGTTTTGCCACAACCTTGTTTAGAAACTATCCATGTTCTAAGGAGCCCATTGAGAATGAGCATCTTGTTTTGAAAATCAATCTGAAGCTAGAAGTTTCTTTTTAGTCACAAATAAGAGCAATGAAAATATGACTACTATATCATTATTTTGGCCTTGTAAAAATTAAAAGTAAACTTCTTTTTCTTTTTTAACTTGGGAGGATTTTATAAAATCTTCACATTTTGTGTGCATTTCAGACATGAAAATCTACCACCCCAGAACCCATCAGAGAGGGATTTAAAGCTCAGGGTAACAGCAGCTCTCTTCAAGTTTCTGAGTAACTGAACTTTGTCTATAACAACAGATTGGAAGATAGAATCAGTTAATCCCTGAACTCAAGGAACCCCTGGCCCATATCCCAGATAATATGAGATGTTGAAAATTAGTCAGGTCCCAGCCTCACCTAAACACATTTCTCCTCTCCTCAGAAGAGTGCAGCTTTTGACCACCACCAGTGTGAGAGCCAGGCCTCACTGTTACGCCTTGATGAATGTATGAACAAGGGGCTTTCTGTGGAGGCACCCTGCCTGGAAGGTGGCAAAGGCCAGGCAGGTACCTGCAGTCCAGCTGCCACTCAGTGATGAGGCTGGCAGCCAAGCTGAGCACCAGCCTTTTTAAAAGCAGCCCTTTTGATAACACTGATTACATTTCCCTCACTGGAGCCTGGGGTTGATTGAGCAACAGCCAACTTCTCTGGGTAACAAAGAGGAGGGAAAGTAATCCAAACACAGGTTTTATTATAAAAACCAGGGAGTGAGAGAAGTATGTTTATTCTGTAAGATAACACACCTGCTTGGTGCCCGGGAGACTCATTTCCATCAGTTGCCATAGCAAACTCGTTATACTTCAAGGCCATGTGGCTTTGTTTCCTTTTGAGATCTGGTCCTTGTCTTACCTTTTCTAACAACTCCAACACAATGACATGGAAGCCTGCGGCAGCATAATTGATTTCTCCTTCCCTCTATCAGCGGTTCACGTTTGTTCCGCGCAGGACTGAGACTGCCTTCTCCTTTGAACTCCTTGCTAACAATGAAGGCGTGCTTCAGATAGCCATCCTCATTAACATTCCAGGTCCCTCTTCCCTGTCAGAAATAAACAAGCCCTGTATCAATGGCCTCCTTCCTTCTAGTTTTACAAATGAGTGGCTCAGTTCCACGTTTTGCTGCGGATCCAGGTGCCCCAGGAGTACAACGTGGGGCTAAGAAGCATGCAGGCGGGAGAGGCTAAAAATAGAACAGCAGTTTTGGATGCATACCAGAGCAGCTACTTCATCTCAACTTGCTTTGCACACTAAGTCTAATGGGATCCATCAGGCATGAGTCTCTCTCACGCTCGCTGTCTCCTTCCCTCTCCCCTCTCTCCCCAGCTGCCATCTACCACCAGCGCTTTCCTCCTGAAGGGAGCAAAGGGAGGTCAGGCAAGGGACAAGAAATGCGTGCCCTCATGGTTTTAGTTTACAAGCCCTCAGAGATCTCGGGGCTGCAATTACTCCTTCCATAAGAGAGTTTCTAGAAAAAGAGCAGGCAGGCCCAAACTGTAGTCACCTTTGCCCAGGTACACTTTGGTCCAGGACTTTCATTGTTTAGCAGAGGCTCAAATATCACTTCCTAATCACCCAAATAAGAGTGACCTAGACTCATGCTAAGTTCCTTGAAAAGTTAAATAGAAAGTAAACTACACTGAGTGTTCCTCTTACAGGTCGCACCTACTGGGCTTTAGGCTAAGAATTTGGGAGCAAACGCACAGTCACAGATGGAGGTGCTGTGGCACGCCTGGGTGAATTGGCAACACGTGACTCCCCTAGTTCTGCAGTAGCCACCCTCCTCCCAGCAGGTATCCTGTGATTCTATCTGAGAGCATTTTTCAATAGAAAATGGAACAAGTCAGTATGAAGTTAGGAATGTGCTATACTGCCTGGGCAGAAGGCCTCCCAGAATGCCAAGTGTATTAATTGAGCTGGCTCCTTTGTGTTGTTGATGTGCCCCCTGATAAAGGGTACCCTTCCTGTAGCCTCCCCCCATGCAAGGGAGAATTAGCATGACTCATACATTTCTCATTTCTCCATCTGAAAGCTAATGTAGATGTTCCAAATAGCTATGTATTATTCCAAGTGCCACTTTTGTAGAATCAAAAGTGTGAGAGAAAGAGAGAAAAATGCATTTCACAGTATTTAAAAACAAAACCCTTTTTCATTGTTGATGTTTTGCAGACTGGCCAGATAAAACTAAAGACATTGATCTAACAGCAGATGTTGTCTATAAGCTTCAGGAAGGTGTCAAGACCTTTTAAATTGTGCCTCGGTTTCATATAATATCCGTGTATAATAAATATGCCAAACTACTTCAAGAAAAGCCATACTGCATATAATCACAGCAGTAATTAATTCCCCAAAGAATTTCTTAGAGAACAAGTTGCAACATGATCATTTAATCCTCTAGCCACGGGAGGACGGAGGTATATCTTCCCTCAGGCCTCCTGTGTTCGTGAGACTTAGTTTACCTCAGGGAGACACTAGGTCATTTGTCAAACAAATCTACCATCAAAAGCCAGATATCTTTCTAGGCTCACCAAGTACATGTCTGCAGTCTGGAAACTAGAGAACCTGGGTTCTAGTGCTAGGATGAACTTTGACAGGCCACAGTTTCTCTGGACCCTGCTTTCTTCATGAATAAAACAAAGCTGCAGGGGTGTATGATTCTTAGCGTACCTTCTAGAATGAAAATTCCATGACAGAAGTAAATGATCTGAGAATTGAATTGATTTTGGAGCTTTCTTTCTTCCTTCCTGGTTTTTTTTTTTTTTTTTTTTTTTTTTTTTTTTTTTTTTTTCTTTTTTTTTTTTTCCTTTTTGTCTTTTTTCGTGTCCAGCCACGGATCGCAACCCTCAGTGTCGCCTTATAGACAACATCTGCTGTTAGATCAATGTCTTTAGTTTTATCTGGCCAGTCCTTATAGACAACATCTGCTGTTAGATCAATGTCTTTAGTTTTATCTGGCCAGTCCTTATAGACAACATCTGCTGTTAGATCAATGTCTTTAGTTTTATCTGGCCAGTCCTTATAGACAACATCTGCTGTTAGATCAATGTCTTTAGTTTTATCTGGCCAGTCCTTATAGACAACATCTGCTGTTAGATCAATGTCTTTAGTTTTATCTGGCCAGTCCTTATAGACAACATCTGCTGTTAGATCAATGTCTTTAGTTTTATCTGGCCAGTCCTTATAGACAACATCTGCTGTTAGATCAATGTCTTTAGTTTTATCTGGCCAGTCCTTATAGACAACATCTGCTGTTAGATCAATGTCTTTAGTTTTATCTGGCCAGTCCTTATAGACAACATCTGCTGTTAGATCAATGTCTTTAGTTTTATCTGGCCAGTCCTTATAGACAACATCTGCTGTTAGATCAATGTCTTTAGTTTTATCTGGCCAGTCCTTATAGACAACATCTGCTGTTAGATCAATGTCTTTAGTTTTATCTGGCCAGTCCTTATAGACAACATCTGCTGTTAGATCAATGTCTTTAGTTTTATCTGGCCAGTCCTTATAGACAACATCTGCTGTTAGATCAATGTCTTTAGTTTTATCTGGCCAGTCCTTATAGACAACATCTGCTGTTAGATCAATGTCTTTAGTTTTATCTGGCCAGTCCTTATAGACAACATCTGCTGTTAGATCAATGTCTTTAGTTTTATCTGGCCAGTCCTTATAGACAACATCTGCTGTTAGATCAATGTCTTTAGTTTTATCTGGCCAGTCCTTATAGACAACATCTGCTGTTAGATCAATGTCTTTAGTTTTATCTGGCCAGTCCTTATAGACAACATCTGCTGTTAGATCAATGTCTTTAGTTTTATCTGGCCAGTCCTTATAGACAACATCTGCTGTTAGATCAATGTCTTTAGTTTTATCTGGCCAGTCCTTATAGACAACATCTGCTGTTAGATCAATGTCTTTAGTTTTATCTGGCCAGTCATCTAACAGCAGATGTTGTCTATAAGCCGACACTGAGGGTTGCGATCCGTTGCTGGACACGAAAAAAGACAAAAAGGAAAAAAAAAAAAAGAAAGAAAAAAAAAGACAGGGTCTGGAGAGGTCCCAGGAGGAAGAGTCCTCTGCAAAGCAGGTTTTATGGGACTGAAGGGCCTCTCAGGGAAGGACAAACTGCCATGAATGCTATTGACTAGCCTTAGCTAGAAGAATGCTTGTGAGAACAGGGCTCCAAACATGGCATGCCTCCAGTGATTGGGGATGGGGGGTGTCACAAGGGTACCACCTGAAGGGTGGGCAGAGGCCCCCGGGGAGGAGCCACATACTCTTCCTCTCTGAGCAGCCGCAGCAGGATATTTTTTTTATTCTTGGGCCAGCTGTAGATGTGAGTGTTCTGAAGCCAGGTGGGCACATGCTCCTGCAGGAGAGGGAATGACAGGAGCAAAGGTCATTAGAGAAAAACCTGGATTCCAGATCTCAGGCTCAACTCCCCAACATCTCTGGCTTTCCCTCATGGGCGTTTCCTACCAAACTACCCTGAGAGTTGTGCCGTTTTGCTTTTGGAAAGGCTTAACATGTGAAATGTTCTTGGCTTCGAGTGCAAGCTGTATATTTCCTTATGAAAACCACATGTGCACAGTATTTTCTGTCAGTCTCCCAGGCTACCTGCCCTTTGCATTTCAATGGGCTTTTCACCACGCTCACATAAAAGGGGTAGGACAGAGGTCACATAGAGTGATATGAATTCCCCTGTGACTTGGGAAGAAGTATGCCAAGGCTATGGGCTTAATCTAATTAATTATCCTTTCATTCCAGCCCCAGGTCTGGCCTGCAGTAGAAGGGGCCCATCAGACCTCAGTTATCAGGCAGAGGCAGAAACTGTAAGCCAGAGATCCTGTGGATGCAGTTTCAGACTGCCCTTATGGAATGGACATTCTGGTGGGGAGAGGCAGGTAATAAATAAGTAAAATGGACAGTGTGTTCAACAGCGAGAAAAATAAAACAGAGAAAGGGGATAACCCCTACTGGGGCAGGGTTAAAGCCAGTACACAGGCACTGGGGTGGAAGTGTGCCAGTCTTGTTCACAAGCAACAAGACCAGCGTGGCTAGTGCAGAGTGAGTGAGAGAGAGGAGACCAGAAGATCAGAGGTAGAGGGGCTGCATCAGACAGCCCCTTGCAGGGTACTGTAAGGCTTTTGGTTATTACTCTGAGATGGCACTCCTTTGGGGACTGGAGGATGAGCTTAGAAGCAGCACCTGCTATATTTCAGCTATCATGCTGGGTATTGATACCCAAATGAAAAAGACCCAGGAACAGCCTTGAGGAGTCTAAAATCTTATGATGGAGGCAAAATGTAAAGAAACTATTTTGTAGGCAGGGGTGTACAAGGAGGCAGGCAGTGGGAGCAGTCTGCCCCAAGCTCAGGCAATAAGGGGATTGTCTGAAGGAGATTTAAAAAAATAATAAAACCAACTAAAAGTTGGTCCATTTTTTATATCACCACGCTCCAGTAATTCTAAACAATCATTCCCTGCACCCTCACCCCTAACCACACACCATTGACTCAAGGTGCTATAATTAAAAGCTCTCAGGAGAGGGACAATGAAATATATCAGCATGGGGGAGAAGAGGTCTCAGAGAGGCTAGAGAGACTGGGTGACATAGGATAAGCAAGAGTTCATTAGGTAGACAAGTTAGGGAAGGACAATGTCCTTCATTCTAGTCCCAGGTCTGGCTTGCAGTCAAGCAGAGGGAACAGAAAGGACAAAGATATAGAGACACAAAAGAACATGGCATGTGTGAGGGCATGCTGAAATAGCCCAGTATGACCAGAGCATAGAGCATCTGTGCGGTGGGTGATAAGAGAGAAGACCAAGCAAGTGGTTACAGTCCTATCCTTAGGGGCCTCATATGTCAACACTAAGAAAGGTGGATATGATCCTGTAGTCAGTGGGAAAACACCACAACATTTTTAAGCTGGAGATAGACAGATCAGATCTCCATTTGGGATGCTCCTCTTTTATACAAGGTCAAAGTGGAGACAAGGAGACCAGTAAGAAGACTCACCACAAATGAGAGCAATGAGACCCTGGGCAAGGGTGGGGCAGGGAGGATGGAAAGGCAGACTATTACACAGGTTGTGCACTGTACAACTCTAGGTGTCCTATTCACATAAAGTGGACCCTCTCACATCCAGGGCAGAGGTTTGTTTTTTTTTTTTTTTTTTTTTTTCTCCTTTTTGAGACCGGCCGCACCGCGCTCAGCCAGTGAGCGCCGTGAGCGCACCGGTCATCCCTATATAGGATCCGAACCCGTGGCGGGAGCGCTGCTGCGCTCTCAGCGCCGCACTCTCCCGAGTGTGCCATGGGCTCGGCCCCGCAGGGCAGAGGTTTTAATGCAGTCCTGACATTGAGGGATCCTCGAGGGTGAAGCTGGGCCTGAGCTCAGGGTGCTGTGGTCTGATTTCTCAGGATATCTACTCCACAGTAGCCATCCCTTTGCCAAGCCTGGAGCATGGCCTTAGAAGGTTTTGTCTCCATTCTCCAAACCTGCCAGCATACTCTTCTGGTGCAAAAACCTTTGTATAAGCCATAGCAAAGTTCATTTGGTAACTGCGTAGATTTAATTCCTATAATCTGCTGCTTTGAGAGCTGAACTATGTGCAACATAATACTTCTGTGGAACAGCCAGCAAAAAATGTACACACTTGACTTGTATGTATGAGAGATAAGTAGTATCAGATGAACCGTCTCTTTTTCTCTCATGAGTTAAAACACATACTACTTCTTTGTGCGCAATGGCTATTTGACCAATTAGGACAGTGATGATCCTGTCAGATAACACTTCAAAACCTTTTTGATTCATGCTGCTGAAGTGAGTGGTACAACTTGTTTATCTTTCTGGTAACACTGTTATCTCTAAGGATTGATAAAGAGTTGACACAATTTTCTAGTTAAAATCCTAGATGGCAAACAAACTAAAAATTGAATTATAAGGTTTTTTGTTTTTTTTGTTTACCTTCTTAGCATTTGGGAAGAGCACAGGAATGAATCTGAAATTCATGCTTCCTTGTTTTATGAACTCAATCTGCATCTGAAACCAAGCAAATTTGAAGGTTTAATTTCAGGAATGAGGGTGAGGAGTTAATGGTACCCACAGTCATGCAAGCCCACCTGGTATTTTCATTCTGATTTCCTTATTTGAGTGCCACACTCAAATTTCCTTATTTAAGCCCTCCCTGTTACACATCCATGCCATTCACTCACTTATCGATCATTTGTTGCTAGACTTTGGGTTTTAAGGATTAGGATACCTTCCAGGGTGTGCTGGAGCTAGCTTGTATCAGCTCACGTGAGCCAGTTGTGTGCATCTCTTCCCAATTCTGTGTTCAGTGACTTCACATTAGTAGCTTGAAATTGGCCATGGAGAGAGTAATTATACCATGGAAATGGGTGAATGCTACAAATCAGGATTTTTTTTTCTTTTTGGAGAGCCAGTTTAGCAGAACACCACTGATACAATTCTTATCCTCACAAAGCAGGCAGTCTAGTGAGCAGGAAGAAAGGTAATTACCAACCAGACTGCAGCATAAAAAGTATGAACAATGGCAGTGGAAGCCCAGAATGGGAGCCATTCATTCTACATCAGGGATTTGAAGGGAGGGGTCATTTAGATACTGAAAGAAAAGATTTTTGTCAGGTAGGGAAAATGGAGGAGGGAGAAGGACACTCTCAGCAGAGGAAATAGCATGAGCAAATGTCTGTAGCGGTAAAAGTGTGTTAGTGTGGTTGGGATCAGCTTGTGGGAATCCCTTGTGGCTAGAGCACAGGATAGGCTTTGCAGAGAGGCAGAGACGAGGCTGGAGGTCAACTGTGAAGAGCTCTGTCTGCCAGGCTTCAGGTTCCCCACACAGTTCCAATTTGCTCTGACACTGTAGTGGCCCGAGAAGATTTAGCTGCCAAGAACTCTATCAAAATCAAAATTTTCAATATGAGGAGAGTTAGAGTCTTCCAAATCCTGTGACCATCACAAAGTTTTTAGTCATCTGATGACAAGGAGGTGAAGAATTATGTGTTCCCAATTATTTTATCTTCCAATTGATTTTTATAACTGAGAAGTCTCCATCGTGATGGGAATAAAAACAGAACAGAGAAGCAAGTGACAGTAGTGACTCCTGGTTATTGAAATCACCATAGAAACCTTTCAAAAACACACACTCTCACATACTCACACACACACCCCCAATGACACAACACATAAATCCTCCACAAGGCGTTTTCTCAGAACCACCTCCCTCCAAAAATCCAAAGACAACACCAAAGCACACTTTAAAATGACCCCAGTGCTGTGTGACTAAAAGCACCAACCGGACTAGCACAGAGTAAACACATGAAAGGAAGGGCACAGGGTTCTTAAGTTAAATGTAAACAACGGGGTCAACGGGACACTGTATACTATAAAATTTGTCTTGTCCACTAAGCTACCCAGTGTTGAGTGGCCAGCCAGCAGAATTGCATTCATCTTTTCTCTTACACTTCCAGATACTGGCATTCTGTGAAGTAGTTTGCTCTGTGATGCAGTTACTCATGGGTGCCAGTCTACTCCCTCTGTCATGGCCAAGTTCTTATTGTCCCAGCGTTTTCTGGTGCCTGGAGGAGACCAGGAAGTCAGCCAGGTGGGCAGGAAGGTGCTTCTGTATCTGGCCTCTTTAACCCCTTTTGTGAAGAGGAAGGGCCCAAGCAACCAAGTTTGGAGACAATGTGGGTACAGCTAGTACAATCCGACAGGCTCTGAGGTTGAGCTGTGTATTACGGCCTGGCTTTGCCACACTCTAGCAGAGCTAGGTTTCCTCAGGAACTGGCAGGGACATAGAGACCTTCCCACACACCAGCTGTTGGCTCCTGGGATTGGCAGGTTCCTAGGGATGCAGACAGGACATTCGGTGTTCTGGGGTCATGCAGACATGCAGCAGACAGTCAAGGGATGGCAAAACCCAGAGCCAGCCACAACCTTTTATGGCAGTTTACTTCCAGAAATGGTACCTTTTCTGCATCTTGCCTATGAGCTGTCAGACTGGATGATCCTGGATGATCCTTAGCCTTACTTTTTTTTTTTTTGTCTTTTGTCTTTTTCCGTGTCCGACAACGGATCGCAACCCTCGGTGTTGCCCCCATACCGGACCGGGGACCGGCAACGGGATCGCAACCCTCGGTGTTGCTCCCGCGCCTCACTCAGCCAGTGAGCGGGAACCGGTCTGTATGTGGGATCCGAACCCTCGGGCGGGAGCGCCGCCGCGCTTCCCAAGCGGCGCACTTATCCAGTGCGCCACCGGGCCGGCCCCTTAGCCTTACTTTTTAACCTCACCACCAACTCAGCTTTTGCCTTGAGTTGGTTGTGGGCTCAAATGAGTGGTGCACACTTGATGGAGGAGGAGACAGAGATCCTGCAGACCCAGATGGGGAACATCCACCCAGCCCGCCCTTTTTTTCTGCTCCTGACCCACAGGACGGACCTGGAATTTGCGTCCACTTCCCCTGAGGTACAGCTGCGTGTCCTGAGACTGCCTGACTGCTTCCTGCCTTAAGCCGTTTGCTTATTCCATCTGGGCCACTTCTGCTTCCTGCCCCATCTTCTGTCTTAGTCATGGTCCTTTATGACCATTCCAGGTGCCTTCCTGCCTTGTGGAATATGAGAGCTGAAAAGGAGCTTATGAGTTCCAGTCCAGGGATTTTTCAAGCCTTTTAAAATATCAGACTCCTTTGTAAACGAGCCTGGGAAATACAGACTAGCTCTGGTTGAGGTGGAAGTGGGAGGCCCAGAGCCACCCCCACTGCCAGCCCATATGAGCATCCATTAGGGACTCCACAGGACAGTTGGAAAGTCACAAGCCTAGTCCAGCATCTTAGTCAAGCAGAAAATGACTCCACAGCATCTCTATAATTGTGAAGAGCAGGAGGACTGCTAGCCCATAAAACAGCCACTTCCAAAGCTGGGTGATATTTTTGGCCAGAATGTTCCATCAGACGCTAAGCAAGTCTAATTTCCTATAAATTCCCTTACTGGTTTTAATTTGACCAGGCCCCACAGTTCAGGTGTGGCAGTGGAATGTCCCCAGCCATCATGAGCTAAGAATAGTCCTTTCCCCTGATCAAGCTATGATCCTGGATATTTGCAAGATACTTCACAAACATTATTTTATTTAATCCTCACAACAACACTGTAAGGATTAGTGACCTATTTTATGAATAGGGAGACTGAGGCACAAAGAGAGTTAAACAGTTGGGCCATGGTCACACAGCCTGTACACGAAGAAGCCAAGTGTGAACCAGGCCCATCAAATGGGACAGCATGTGTCCTTTTCACTATGCCACCCTGCCTCTCTGAATAGGCAGGGGACAGAATGTGGTACAGGTGCAGGAGCCCATCCTCCTCACAGCCCTGCCTCCTGCCCTCTGAGAGCTTTACATTCATTGGTAAACTATCATCTTAGGGATTGAAGACTGCTGATAGGAACACTGAAGAGGTGTGGTGACTTGCACAGATGGAGCCTGGACCAACATCCCCTCTGCTGACACAGGAGGCCTGGGGTTCTTCACCCAGCATCATGCCACCTTGGCTGGACAGAGCAGGCAACCCTGAGGGGCGGTGAGGTGCTGTGGTCCCCTTACCACTCACCATTCGATGAATGTACTTAGTATGTAAGCCATGCTCGTCCTCATCCAGCTGCGACTCAGCACCGTCCACATCCTGTTTGTATTTGGGGCTGATTGCTACGATTATCATCACTGTCTTCTGTTAATGAGAGGGAGAAAAGCATGTTTATGGAAGTGTAAAGTGTGGTCCATTTGGTGAAGGCAGGCTGGAACCCGGCCAGCAGGACTGTCAGCATTCTCTGTCATACTGGAGGATGGAGGGCCAGGCTCATTCTCTGTGGAAAGTGAATGGCACTGGCCCCCACGCAGGCAGACTCTTGTTTCTGCTTCTCCCCTCTGTCTCCCTGCCCAGCTGCCCTCAAACACGCAGAACAAATGGCTTAGAGAAGAGCTCTCCTACATAGATGTGCTTTTGTCCACCATTTTCCACAACAGTCACAAATAAATGTCTAATGAGAGCCTGATCACTAAGTGAGTCTGTATCGTGGCAAAAAGGCACTGCAATACCAGCTATGAAAAACACCCTCCCTCCCGCATCTGGCTCTGAGCTGTCAGTTACCACACTCTCCACTGCCCTGCTTTCTGTGTGTGCATATTAGCACAGTCAGAAGGAACAGACCTTTCAGCACAAAGCAAACATCAGGCTGCAGACAAAAGGAAAAGCCGCAAAACTCCAGTCTGCTGATACTCCTGGCCCCCACTGGCTTCCTCCAAAAGAAGCAGCCGACATGGCCACGCTGGCAGCAATCAATTTCTATCTTGTTAAAGCACAAAGTGTCCCAGTGGCCGGTATAGATTCTGTCAGCGGAAAACAAATCACGGGGCTGCGAGTGGGCGCCTGGGGGTGGTGTGCTGCACAGCCTGTGAGGCCACCCGCCTGGGAAACCTCTTCAGCCCAATCCTACAAAACACTTGGGGTGGCCTCAGATTAAATTGAATTGTGCCGCTCGTTTCCAACTCCCTGTCTTCCTTTCTTCCTTTCCTATTCTGGTCAAAAAATTGTTTGCTCTGATTGTTATCAACCACCTGTGTCTGGTTTGACTGTTATTTCCTGCCTGTGCATATCCAGGAGAGCAACCCCATCCTTCCTTTCCAAGTCTTTGCATGGCTTCCAACAAGGGAGGCTTTGTTGGGACCTTCTCAGCTTCAGACTTAGGTGCCTATGCCAGTGCTTCTTTCATGAAATAACTTCACAAGCTAATTGTCTTTCTCACCAGGAAACAATCTCAGAATTTTGGAATGTACTTACATCCCTAAGGTAGCGCTCCATCCATTTAATGATATCAATTCCTCGGATTCTATCCTCAAATATGTCAATCTACAAGAAAAAGATGTGGGAGGTGGCTTTTAATGAGAAGCTTTCTCTAGATGCAGAGCACAAGAAAACACAAGAGACTATATACATTTAAGTCCCCAAAAGTTACTAATGCTTTGTACAAGGAGGAGCATATAAATGTAAAAATCAAAACACAATTTTCTTAAAATATTTCCTGTTTCAACATTAATAGACATTTAAGTATTTAATATCCATAATTAGGATATAGTGGTACACATCAAAATGTATCTGTGGCTACACAATAATTATGTTTTTAAAAATCTGAGGGACACAGTATGCCACTAAATTGGATGTAAGCCAACAATACACATACATTATATATATCTGTAATTTGAAAATTTGAAAGGCAAACATACTTCTGGAACATTTTAATGGATGTATGGTGTGCAAATACTGAGATACAATTGTGTTGCTTTACTTGCATTAGTCACATCATTATTATGGTATTATGTCCAGTTTCGATATATACATTTCAAAAGAATTGTATGAAACTTGGAGCAGATCCAAGGAACGGTCACAAAAACAATTATTGAGATGATAGGGAAAAGGTTTATGGTGAAAATTAAGAACTCTTGGGCCTTGAAGAGACTGATATTTAATATCAGTCTTCAGGTCTTCAGAAGGGTATTCAAAGAGGAGAAAAATCAGTTATTTTCTATTTTATGGAAGACTAAATAAGGTCTTTCTTGGGTTCAGGCTCGTACTTTAGCCAGAATAATGTATGTATGTATGTGTGTGTGTGTGTGTGTGTGTGTGTGTGAATGTACAGGGTACTCTTGATTGGAAGAGGGATTATATCCTGGAATGTGTGACTCAGGGAGAGTGTCCCCGGGGAGGGGTTATTTGATTCAGCCACACTACTCTCAGATTAAATGTCCTGAATGTCACACCACTGTTTAAGACTATCAAGTCAAGTTCCAGCCATGCAGCAAGCTTTCTGTGCTATCTGTGATCTAGACTTACCTCCCTTTTCCCCTCATACCCTGTCTACTTTACTCCCCACACTGGTGTCCTCTGCACCCTAAAAGCATAGTACAAGCCCCTCTGCTCTGTAAATCCTTCCCACATACTGACCTCCTCTCACTTCACCTAACTCTTCCTCATTGTGACCACTAATGGTACTTGGCAATAAACACATTATTATAACATTCTTTCATTTACTAAATGTTTCATTTATGTCTGCCTTATCTCCTCAACCTGATTCTAAGCTCCCTATGGAAAGAGATCATGCCTTGTTTACACTGAACTATCAAATACAAAGGGTATATAATACAAGTTCAGGTATGTTTTTTTTTTTCCTTTTTGTCTTTTTTCGTGTACGGCAACGGATCGCAACCCTCAGTGTCGCGCCCGTACCGGACCGGGACCGGCAACGGGATCGCAACCCTCGGTGTTGCGCCCGCACCTCGCTCAGCCAGTGAGCGGGAACCGGTCTGTATGTGGGATCCAAACCCTCGGCGGGAGCGCCGCCGCACTCCCAAGCGGCGCACTGTAGCAGTGCGCCACCGGGCCGGCCCTCAGGTATGTTTTTTTAACTGATGAAACAAAAAAGTGGAATGGCTTTGCTTTTGTTTTATTCTACTACAGGATCTTGATGTATCAATAGTAACTTAGCTGTCTAGGATGGGGTTCTGTGATTCTACCACAAAGCTTTATAGTGATGAGGATTAAAGGCAAGTCTAAACTCTGCCTAAGTAGCCCCTGATTGTTAAGGTCAAAAAACCCTGGGCTCTTCTCCTGGAGCAATCAGTATGCTTATTTGGAAATGATGAAAAGTAAGATCTTTTGTGAAATGTTGGACTTATGTTTTGTAATTTGATTTTATGTCACGGTTGCCATGGTACTTTCTCATTCCGGAAATGAGAATGTGAAATGTTGGTCTGTATATAGTCACAAAGTTGGGTTGTTTTTTTTTTTTTAACTTTAAATTGTACTTTTAAAAAAATTTCAGATACTCCTGTTTAAAAAAAAAGTATTATGAAATAAAGACAACTTCAAATAAAAACTCCTGTTAAACAATGCTAAATAACCTTTAAAACTGATATTTAGTTACTAAATATTTTTCTTTATCCTTCAACACTCCTATTCATAGACATTTCTTTTAATTCTTCACCACTCTCTAGAATTCACTGTCACTAAATACCTAGAGGAGGCCCCTGGAAAGGAAAAAAAGTGATCTCAGTGTTTGAGGAAAGCCAGTCTTGTGGTATTTTATTTATCCTAAAGAAAAACTTAAATGGCTTTAAGTTTTAATGCTTTAATGTTTCAGGGGCTGTGGGGGGACAGGAGGAGTGTGTGTTTCCTAAGATTTCTTGGGCCAGAATCACAGGAGACCTGCAGGAGTGGGTTAGGTCTGCCTCTCCCGGAATTAGACTAGACCAGCTGAAAACTCGGCCATGTATTCCCTGTCCAGAAGGTCGCTGCTGCATCAAGGTGTGAAATGGCAGTGTGCAGTGGGGGACTGAGGCTACAGGGGTTTTACTTCAAACCTCACAGCCCGGTGCAGAACAGTAGGACCTTATTAAATAAGCAGGTGACTGTGGTGAAGTCTGCAGCTTCCTGCATCACAGGAGGCACAACCAAAGCAGGCACGATTGGTGAGGAGGTGCAAAGGTACAAAGTGCAGCAAGAGCCGGGCATTTCCTTCAGGCCAGGGGCCAGCTGCATATATGGTCGGAGTTAGCATTGTTCTTGCTGTTGGGGGTACTCAGGGTCACTCAAGAAGCATACGGAAAAAATACTGCAGGCTTTGAACAGTTTAAAATCTAGAGGATAATTACCTAAATTTATAAGTGTTTAGTTCATAATCACATAAGTGAAATAATATCATTTAAAACATTGACAGCTATTTATACTTTTCTTCTTTTGTTTTTCTTTTCCTACAAAGAGGGAAGCAGGATTTCATTTTGTTCTGTTTTCTCTTTGGATAAAATACTTACTGCAGTTTGGAAGCCATTTACCAACAAAAAGTTGACGAATTTCACCACCTCCATGGCTGTGTCCATAGAATAAGTGATAAAGACTTTCCCTAAGAGAAATGTTCACATTTATTAGAAACTAGTCAAATTATTCTATTCTAAACAACTCTTCTAAATTGTATGCAATGCCTTTTGTCCTTCTAGAATAATAAGGGGAAACCTTGCTTATGCCTGTAGCAGTGTGGATAGGAGTCCTCAGGACACAGCTCTCTTGCCAAAGGGGGAGGGGATCTGTCCAAGGGAGTGCAGACGACTCAGGGTGAAAAGGAATCAGTGGGACAGAGGAGAGCACCTGCAGGCTGAGAGAAGCCTGAGATGTCTTCTGAAAAACCACATGAGGGCTTAACAAAAAATTTACCGTGCCAAAGGGGGAGGGGATCTGTCCAAGGGAGTGCAGACGACTCAGGGTGAAAAGGAATCAGAGGGACAGAGGAGAGCACCTGCAGGCTGAGAGAAGCCTGAGATGTCTTCTGAAAAACCACATGAGGGCTTAACAAAAAATTTACCACCCAGAATCTGTGGGTCCTTAAGATCAGACCATCACCTGGTTTCTTAGAGACACTTGGCACTGTGCCCAAGGAATACTCTCACAGCAGGCCAATAAGCTAAGATTTGGCTAAAGGGCCACACAGCAGTGTCCTCTTTTGATGTCACAATACTCTCTGCTGCCTTGAGCTCTTGACTACAAGAGCAAGTGAGGGGGGAGGAGGAAGGGGGAAATTGGTTCCTTGTCCCCTTCTTTCCCCCACCTACTCACTTTTGAAGAAAGCCTAGAATTTCGGAGTAGACTGAAGCACAACTCAGAAATGTTAGTAAAAACTTCAGCAGCTTGAAGGAGAGACACCTCTGGGCAATCTATCACCACAGGCTCCCTCACTCATCACTAGAGCAGCAGACAGTACTGTTGAGATGAGCTTAACCCAGTCAGGATGAGAACCAGTGATTTTTCAGGCTAAAGTCTTAAGGAAATTATCTGGCTAGCACTTTAATGTGGGAGATGAATAATCTCTGTTGTGTTGGCTATATCCTATGCAGGGCAACATCCGTTCTCCAAAAATGCTCAAAACTGGAAGGTATTAATTTTAAGAAAATGTTCAGAAATAAACATTTTTGAATGAAAACAGCAATGAATCGTTGTTATATAAATCTTTCAGAGCTGTAAATGACTAAAGAGCACAGATCCCCCAAGAGGAATTAGGAAATGCAAAGGGCTTCATCTCACGTTTGGCTTAAAGAGGTTCCCAGATTTGGAAAGAGTTTATTAAAATTACCTGAGCTTCTCTGTAGCAAGCACAGCAGATAATAATTTCACAAATGGTGGCTGTTTTCTTACGATTTCTGGAATTTACTGTCCTGACTGACCTTAATATGAGAGCATTTTGGTGATATTTCAACATTTCTGATTCTGGCAGCAAAGTGTGGAAAAAGAATCACCACCTGACACTTAGTTGAATGTTTCTTTAAATGAAAGGCTTAGTTTGCATTTGGTTGTGAAGCAGTATGGAGAATGTGAGACTGTTATTTTCCATAGAAGATTGTTCATTCCTGCAGGAAATGTCTTCATTCTTGATGGCTGCTGTTAATTTATGGTGAGATGCTAGGTCCCTGTCCAGTACCACATGGACATCCAATCAATTTACCCAGGGACAAGTCCACTCAAGAGCATCATTTTGAAGAGGGAAAAAGCATTGTGGTTATTTGTTGTTGGAGTATATGTTTAAGAAAATCTAGTGGTAAGCAGTTTGTGATCATTACTGGTAGTGTCAGAATCACTAAAAGCATTCATACAAAAAGCTGATTACTTTTTAAGCAGAAAGCAAAAATGTAAATTTTATTTCACTTTGTATGTGAGGTATATCTGAGATTATGGATGAGTGACCATCAAGTACTCTCAAAGTACAAGACCTGACAAGAAGAAGGAGAAAACAATATTGCAAACAACTTACGCAATTCTTCTGGCAAATTGCTTGTTTTCAGAGTTCCTCTGGCTGGAGGGTTACTAGGGGGTCTAGGCACAGCAGCTGGGGATGGAGCCTGGTGACCCTGTGGTCTCAACTCTGAAGGACACTCCAAGGACTCCTCAGGAGCTCCAGCTCTATTAGGTGGCTGGTGATACATCTGGTCCCTAGAAAGGAATACTTTTGCAGTAAATTTTCATTTTTTACAAAGGCACACCTTGAGGGACAGAAATTCTTTAAGAATCTCTCTTCTGCCTCCATTTCTTATCTGAGACAAAAGGAAAAGGGGGGAGCTCTATGGAGTTTCTGTCAATAAGCAATTCAGCTGGCTGCTATATGTAAAGGCCCAGGCTGGGGATACAAAGAGGGAAGCAGGATTTGATTTTTCTATTTAAGGACTGTCTAATTGGGAAAATAAGTCTCATGCACAGGGTAGACAAATTCACCAACAAAACAAAGTAGTATGATGGATGACATAGAAGGTTGATGTTATAGGCATTCAGATAAAAAGATATAACTTTTAGCTCATGATAGATAGAAAACAGTTATTTAGCAAAAGGTTAAAAAGGCCATGTAGTTTTAAAACTATTTATGTTGTTGGTATATGAATGAAAATCTGATATTGAAGACCCTTTAAAGAAGTTTCTACCACATTGTTATATGGCATCTTTGCTATTATTTTGGTTGCCAGTATTCCCATGAACATTCTGCTAAGATGAATAATCAGATGCACTCATGTGAGATTTGGATGGCAGAAGGAAATGGAGATCATGTTTCTGCCACTTCTGTGGTTTCTGTTGGTAAGCACGGTCATGAGGTGCTGAGTTTTCCTCAGGAAGCATCCCAGTGTTCTGTTACCAGCTTCACGAGTGTCAAGAGCCAGGCATGGGCATCCATTTCTTGCCAGTGCAGATGTAGCAGGCATAGAATGGATCCAACATTTGCAGTGGTTGCAGCAGTATTGACTTTCTGATTTTCCACCTTCCTGACTGTGCCAGAGGAGGCAGCTTCTTTGGTGGTCCTGTTCTGTAGTGTGGCTCTGGGATCAGTCCCAGAAGCCCAGCCTAAGGCTTGCTCCTCCAACCTCCAATAATTTAGTAAGCACCCAATTCCCTTTATTAAATCTCCTTCTGCTTAAAATAGTTAGAGTTGTTCCTGATTTCTGTAACTAAATCCTAACCAGTAGGGGGACTAAAACTATATCTGTAATGTTTTACTTCTTTAAAAAAATTCTGACTCAAATGTGTCAACATGTTAACATTTTAAAAATCTGGGTAGTGGAAACATGGATAGTTTTTTTTTTTTTTTTTTTTTTTTTTTTTGGTGTGTTTGAAATTGTTTCATAATATAAATTTTTTAAAAAATGGTTTGACTATAATATCTATATGTATATGCCCAGTTTTTATAGGTTGTTATTTTATACCTAAACGAGTAAAAAGAAAATCTGAAAGTCTTATTTAATAGGATTTAAAATAAAATTACACAGAATCTCAACTATATTATATTCCTTAAATATAAATGTTTAAGGAGGTTTTTATTGTATATTTTTCTTAATACAAAGAAAATAATTTCCTATAAAATATGCTTTCATTTAATGGGGATCCAGTTCCATATTCTTTTGCATTAAATCCTTTTATACCCAAAGTTGTTTAGTTGTTATAAAAGATGATTACTAATTTGATAAAGAAATGTTAAGGCCTTTAATATTCAAAAACTTTCATATAAAAACAATATCATGGAGTTTAGTGACAGAATAACCTTTCGGTATTAGGGTTCTCTTTCAAATTATCAGTAAGAGGAGAGTTAGATTCTTTACCTGAACTTCTTTTTCATTATCCTAAAATGATAAAATAAATCAAGGAGACTACACCACCCCTAAATTGATGCTACAAAACCAATTACTTTGTACGATCTTTGTAACTCTTCTGTAAATCTAAACTTATTTCATAAATAAAAGTTAATTTTAAAAATCACTGTTGTCTTCCCTATTCAACACCAAACTTATTTCATAAAAATGCTTAAATTTTGCTTTCTTGGAATTTTAGGTATTTCTTCTGTAAAAGTGTTTATCCTAATGTAAAAACACATTTTACTTAATTCCATTATTTAAACTCCATGTATTTTTGTTTTAGAAAAATAAGCATTTCATAAAAATGCTTAAATTTTGCTTTCTTGGAATTTTAGGTATTTCTTCTGTAAAAGTGCTTATCCTAATGTAAAAACACATTTTACTTAATTCCATTATTTAAACTCCATGTATTTTTGTTTTAGAAAAATAAGCAATCTGTCTGGAAAGAAAATATTAGGGCTTATAAGCTTTTGTGTAAAGGGGAAAGCAGGCATATCTTATCTGCCATTGTTAATAAAGTGGGCTTTTTTTCCTTCAATAAAATTTCTAAGCTAATTACCAATTTCTGTATTTCTGAAAAATCCACTTTAATAGAAAGTGGATCTTCTGTTATCTCATTCTATTCTCTAAAAACAATATAGTTTTACTTTGAGTGGTATACAAAAGTTGTGCTTGAGGAAGAGCAAACATTACATCTACTTTCCAATTCTATCACAAATTAGAAAGCCCCATTTACATGTGTTTTTTCTGTATATTGTAGATTCATAAATTAATAGAAAAGAAAAACTAAGAATCGAAAGAGAAAAATGATTAAAGGGTTAGACAACTGAAGTCATGAAAAACTAGAATTGTTTTTCTGGAAGAAGCACAGGAGAGACCTAATAATGGTGTTTAACATGTACGAATGTTTTTATTACAAAAGGAAATAACAGGATATTTTAAATTTCTATTGAGAATTAATGTAATTTAAAATTCTAATGTAAGAAATAAGTCCAAACAGGAACAGAAACTAGGGATATAAGAAACTTGCTAACAGTGGAAGTCAGTCATAATAAAAATAAAAATCTATTTCGTGGGCTAAAGTTTAGGTGATCTAAAAGTAAAAGAAGGGGCTGTGACTTAGAGTATGTCTTAAGAGTCTTTAAGAGAATTTTGACTAGTCACTGGTGGCTTTATAGGTCTGGTAAAGAGATCCTTGTCAACTAGCTTCTGTTTCCTCCCGACTGAAAAGTCTATACTGTTCCTTCCACTGTGTGACTTAGTCACTAACCTGGGTAGCAAACCTACAGAGGAAATTTTGATATGTCTTGGTTGCATTGGCATAATTCTTTTTCATGTTAAAAGTGTCTGAAGTTTGGCCTTGTCAGCTGATACCTTGGGAGTCCTGGAAAGGAGGAGTCTCTTTGTGCAGGCCTCTCTTCTTGGTCCCAGGGACTGGGATAATTCAGAATGACCTTCTGCACAGGGTAGAGGCCTCTCGCACTGGCTCCAGGTAGGGGCTGTCCAGGTAGAGCTGGCTGGATCACTTGCTGGTAGGCTGCTCGAGGGTAGTCATGGCCATCTGTAAGTGAAGACAACAAAAAGAACAGGGAAGATCAATTCTAGCTCCTTTGTGAGAAAGGAGAGGTAAGCTCAGTGCAAATTTTTGTCTTCATACCAACTGAAGGTGCCAATATCAGTTACCACCTCTATGATGTTTGCCATATTTCTCTACTGTTACTTGATAGTTTTCATGAAATTGATTCACTTAAAAGGAAAATCTGTGAAGCCATGTGTTTGGTATTCTTATTGGAAAGCTCAAATAACTTTTCAAAAAACTCTACACAGGCTCCCATTTTAATAAGATACTTAGGATAATTCAACCATGAAGAACCTCTCTCATACCACCATTCCTACTATAATTCTCCAAGTGTCTAGAACCCAAGGCTAGAAGAAATTATCCCTATGACATAGAATCACAACTTTCTCCTTTCCTCTCCCCAAGTGGACACACAGAGACACACACACACATATCACACTGACACACACCTCACTCCCTCTTTTTTTTACTTGTCTGGCTTGTACGGTGATCTGAACCCTTGACCTTGGTGTTACAATACCATGCTCTACCCACCTGAGCCAACAGCCAGCTAACAGCTTTTTTTTTTTTCCTGTCCACTTCCTCTTTAGAAGTAAATGAATGAAAACTTGGCTTATCCCTCTGGGAAGCAGCCAACCAGTTGGCAACACCTTCCGACTTTCTTGGTCCTCTCCTGCTATACGCACTTGGGACCAGGGCAGTTTGAAGAGGGCAGGGCTTGGGAGCAAAGCCAGTGTTGCCAGTAACTTACATGAATGAGTAACCTGGAAGAAAGTTGGTCCCAGCCAGGCCCAGGAGCAGCAAGGTCCCAATGGAAGAAGGGCAGGCACCCTGCCTGATCGGGTGAGAGAACAGAATGGAAGGCAAGAGGAAAGATGCACAGAATCCACTAAGGGTGACAGAGGAGAGATCTAAGAATTGCCCAGACCCGAAGGAGGTAAAGTGTTGGGAAATTAGAGGTACAAGGAGACTGGAGAGAACCAAGCGGGTAGCCCTGCAAACTGAACCACAAGCACCTCCTGGTGATCCAAGTACTGCCACTTCCGCCCAAATAAGAAGTAGGATGATTCAAGAGGCATAACTAGTTAGGAAGGAACCCGGGTTTTCAAAAAAATAGTTATTGGTCTTAATTATTTTTCTGATTATAAAAGTAATAATCAAGTTTGCCTGTTGTGTAGGTAGGATACGTGCAGGATGTACAGTGGAAAAATACTGGCGAGTAAGAAAGAAAGTAACAAGTAAGGTTGTCTGGAACCAGAATGGGGATGGTGTGTATGTGGCTAAGAATCTTATTTTTAGTTTTGTAAGCAGTCAGGAGCCACCAAAATTTTCAAGGAAACATTCAGGGGAATTATGGCCTCACGCATAGCATAGAAGACAAATACTCCAAATGTGCTTGTTCACTAGTGTGGCTGCCTCCAGGTTCCTACTCTCTGGACTCAGGAAACGTGGCTGGGTGACCCTGGCAATGTGCCCAAACCAGTCTCTCAAGCCTGGTCAGATTCCCTGGAGTTAATCTATTGTCTGCCTTGACCCATGACATGAGCTGGGTCCTTCCTGTCATGCTTCCTTTGGCAAAAGTGACCATGCCCCTCCAACCCAGGTTGTCTCCTGGCCCTGACCCCATGACTCTTGCATTGCTATTGCTTAGGCCTAGTCATGACAAATAGTTGGGGTTTAGGGAAGGGGAGGAGGAGAAAAGGATCTGCCTGGGCCTATCCCAGCACCTGGCTGATGAAGGAGACCAGGAGTTGGAGGACAGCTCTAAGAATGGGAAGATAGGACCACAGAGACCCCTATGGTCTAGGACAAGGTATACGACATAGGCTTTTGCCTTCTATATTTCAGGGGATGCAGATCACCAGCTGGAGTTTCAGGGGAAAAGGGCAGGTCACTACTGCTTCTCCTTTTCCCCAGCTAGAAAAGGACACTGCCATTGGGTCAAAAGGCAGGGGCCAGCCCAGGTTTTAGATGAGCCTTGTGTGAGTGGACCATTTATAAACCCAGCTATAGATCCAATCCCCCAGAGATCTCCCATTGCACTTAAAATCCACTCTGCATGATCAGTCCCTGCCCTTCTTGATCTTGTTCCCACTACACTCTCGCTGGCTCACCAAACCCCAGCTTCATCTGGAGCACCCCGAGCTTATCCTTACATCTGGGACCCTAACTTTGCCATTCTCTCTGCCCAGAATGTTTTTGCCCTAGATCTTCACACTTCTTGTCATTCAGACCTCAGCCCAAATATCACCTGTTCAAAGAGGCCCTCCCCTTCCCCCAGTTACCTTACCCATCCCGTTTTATTTTCTTCATAGCTCTTATCATGGGTTTGTGTATGGAAGCATGACTCTTACTTGTCAACTTGCCTGCCTTCCCAACTAGAATGTGAGCTCTGTGGAAGAATGGACTGTGCCTCCCTGCCACCATGGCTCCAAACATAGTACTGGCACGTAGGGGATGCTCAATGCATGAATGAAGGAAAACAGAATAGGTACAAAGCCACCTTCAACACACACAGAAAGAAAAGCTCTTTAGGGCCGGCCCGGTGGCGCACTGCTACAGTGCGCCGCTTGGGAAGCACAGCGGCGCTCCTGCCGAGGGTTCGGATCCCACATACAGACCGGTTCCCGCTCACTGGCTGAGCGAGGGGCGGGCGCAACGCCGAGGGTTGCGATCCCGTTGCCGGTCCCGGTCCGGTACGGGCGCAACACTGAGGGTTGCAGTCTGTTGCCGGACACGAAAAAAGACAAAAAAAAAAAAAAGAAAAGCTCTTTAGGACTGCACAATCTGCTTGCTAGCTCTAGGGTCTCCCGGACTGTCAACTTCTCATCTGTTGTCCATTTTGGAGTTTTTTTTTTTTTTTTTTTTTTTTT